CTCAATCTTCCTGCCTCCTCCTCCCTCACTGCTGGGATCACAGGCATATGGCACTATGCTTCGAGATTCATCTAGAGTTAACTCTTTATATATTTACTTTTTAAAAATTTTAATTCTTTATATTATTTGTTCTACCTGTTTTATCTGGTGTTTTTAAAAAACAAGCCTAGGGGCTGGGAATGTAGCTCAGTGCCACTGCCCCTGCCTCAAAAGTACAAGGTCCTGAGTTCACTCCCTAGTACGGGGGTGGGGGAATAATGGGCCTATATACTTTAGATAAATTCAATCTGAAGCAAGTAATCCTATTTAAGTTATATTTTAAAAGTTCTAAATTGGGCATGGTGACGCACCCCTGCATTCCCAGCACTCAGGAGGCTGAGGCAGCAGGATCTCCACAAGTTCAAGGTCAGCCTGGGGTACACAGTGTGTCCAAGGCCAGCCTGGACTATGATTGCATTAAAAATCCTAAATTGTACAAAAACATAAACTATGAGAATGGCCTCTGTGATATGGAAAGAAGTATAGAACTAGAGGGACACACAAGATTCTTTTTTTCTTTTTGGTACCCGGGATTGAACTCGGGTCCTTGGGCTTGCAAGGCAGACGGCACAACCACTGAGCTAAATCCCTGGTCCCATACAAGATTCTTCACAAGAGAAAAATAGCAGGTTTTAACAAACCTTTATATTGATCAGTTCATTAGTCAACTTCTACACAATGACTTCCTTCCTGACAGCTTTTATACTGAAAAAAGTGTCCTTTCACTGACAAGAGTACATAGAACCTATGGACCAGTGAGTGACCTGGTATGGTGGCACACACCTACCATCCCAGCACTTAGGGAGACTGAGGCGGGGGTTAAAATTGGAGTCCTGCCTGGGCAACTTAGCGAGATACTGTCTCAAAATTGTATTTTTTAGAAGGCTAAGGCTAAGGATAGCTCATGGTACAGTGCCCCTGGGTTTGATCCCCAAGTACCACAAAAGCAAAAACCTGTGGGTGGTGGATGAGGAAGCATCAAGTACTTCTGCAAAATCTGAGGTTATTTTCTCAACTCCTGTCAGAATTCTAAGAGATACAACAATGGTAGCAGCACCTTTCATTGAAATTTTTAACATACATATCCAGAAAATATTTTTATTTTGTTCTTTGCCTTCAGCAACCTAGAAGTTGTGTGAGCTTTTAGTACTGGAACATTAAAACAGGACAGAAAAATTATGAACAATAACGCAAAATTCAAAAAGCAAAATGTAGAAGAACTTTACTTCAATAAAATGGCAAGAAGGAAGATCACTTCTGCAAAAAGTATTACATCAGTCACCTAGCACAGACTTGCAGAAAGTAATTTCACATGTAAGTATGCACCTACTGTTGGACCCTTAACAATAATTTCTCAGTCTTATTCTAATGTATTCCATGAGCCAAAATATTTTGCCTACTTCTACCTTCTATAGTTTGTATTATTAAAACAAGAGGGGCCGGGGATTTAGCTCAGTGGTTTCGCCGCCTGCTGCGCAAGCGCAAGGACCCGAGTTCAATCCCTGGTACCAAAAAAAGAGAAATATCAGGGGCTGGGGATGTAGTTCAGTGGTTGAGCATGTGCCTACAATGCATGAGGTCCTGGCACCATCCCCAGCACAGCAGCAATTGGAAAAAAAAAAAAAAGAGCAAAAGATTGCACTACTGCCAGGGATGTAGCTCAGTGGTACAGCACCTGCCTGGTACATGCCAGGCCCTGAGTTCGATTCCTAATACCAAACAAAAACAAAAATGCTTTGCCAGGCATGGTGGCACACACCTGTAGTCCCAGCACTGGGGAGGCTGAGGCAGAAGGATCACCTCTAGTCTGAGGCCAGCCTGGGCCACATAGTGACCCTAAGGCCAGCCTGAGACCCTGTCTCAAAAAAAAAAAAAAAAAAAAGATTGCAATCTTTCTTTGTGTGAGACAGGGTCTCTGCCCTTGAGCTCACTATGTAGCCCAGGATGGCCACAAACTCAGGGCAATCTTCCTGCCACAGCCACCCAAGTGCTGGGATTACAGATGTGCACCACCACATGGGCTAAAATTGTACTACTTTGAACATTCTGCTTTGGAAAACTGCTAACAATCCTCTGAAATGTCACCAAGTGGTATCTTTTTTTTTTAAATGATCTAACTTTGAACATTTTATTTTATTTTATTTTTTTGAACATAATTTTAAAGTAAGGGTAATAGTTCTCATTACATCCCTGGTGCATTACAAAGTCTTCAATTTACTTTTGTTTTTTGGTACCGGGGATCGAACTCGGGTCCTTGAGTTTGTGAGGCAGGTGGTGGCACCACTGAGCTAAATCTCCGGCCCAAAGTCTTCAATTTAAATTGAACTTCTTTTTTCAGTACCTGAGCTTGAACTTAGAACCTTTGCACTGAGCTATATTCCCACCCCACCTTTTTTTTTTTTTGTGACAAAGTCTCAGTAGGTTGCCTAGGCTGAGCTCAAAACTTTCAAGCCTCCTGCCTCAGCCTACCAGGGTGCTGGGATTACAGGTGTCTCTTACTTTATGACAAAGTTACTTTCATTTGTCAAACCACTAATTTTCTGATGTCATTATTCTGCAGTCTACAATACTAAAGGTTTCGCTGTGTTTAGTACTACTTTCACTTCAGTTTCTCCCACAAACAAAAACCTTCTCATCACTGTGTTTTAGTTTAATCCCCTTACTTTATAGGTGATAAAATAACTGGAAAAGAGTACTAAGTGCATTCTAGACTTTGGCTACTAGCAAAAAGAAAAATGTTCTAATGTCACCATTCTCCTTCAAAAATTTCATTTTTACTTGCACTGACTTAATATATTTGCCAGAATCAAAATTAATACCAACTTAATACACCAGTCCCCTCAGGAAATCATTTAGAACTGTATCACTTAAACTAGTCTTTTTTTTTTTTTTTTTGGTACTGGCGATCGAACTCGGGACCTTGTGCTTTCAAGGCAGGCACCGGAACCACTGAGCTAAATCCCCAGCCCCTTCTATATTTTAAATAAGTACTATTTTTTCATAGCTAGGATATGAAATGACCAAATGTACTAATTTATTATGGGAAAATCTATACAGGTAGATATTAATTTTCCGTATGTCACAACCTCCCAGTGATTAGACTGTTTTACCCAAAGCAATCATACTTCAGAAAGTATTCTTAAACTTCTAGAGACTTAAAAATTAACATGATTAGGACTAAGGTCTGCTTACTCATTAAAATTATCCAGGTGTGGTGGCACATGCCTGTAATCCCAGCACTCGGGAGGATGAGGCAGGAGGATAGCTGCAAGTTCAAGGCCAGCCCTAGCTACATAGTGAGTTCAAGGCCAACCTGCACTGCATAGTGAGACCCTGTCTCAAAAAAAAAACAAAAAAAACCTTAACCATATTTCTTGTATTAACGGCAAGAGGTATAGAGATATTCATGAAGTATAAAGTAAAATAGCTTTCTGTGGAAGAGCAACCTCCCCACCATCAAAAAAATTATTTGTAGAGTTTTATGTTTTAGAAGGAAACTACAAGCAGTCACAATTACGAAGATAAAGATATATTGTAAGTGGGCCGGGGATTTAGCTCAGTGGTTCCTCTGCCTGCTTCGCAAGCACAAGGACCTGAGTTCAATCCCCGGCACCAAAAAAAAAAAAAAAGATATATTGTAAGTAAAAGTAATAAATAAAAAGTGCTTTATTTTTCACTCTTTCAACTAAAACAGAAATACAAGTTGAGAACTCATCAACCCCCAAGTGCATAAAGTTCACAAAACAAATGCACAAGATTCAGTAAGACTCAGATTGAGTGAAATAAGACTAGACAATAATATACCAAAATATTAATAAATGTGGCAAAAGGGTGAAATATGTGACTTTCTAATTTCTTTACACTTCTGTATAATATTCCAAATTTCCCTACAAAATGAACAAGTATTACTTTTATATTCAGAAAAATCTCATTTAAAAAATCAACCGTATGACATTTAAAGGTTCATTTAGAAAAACTCTACCTTGTCCAACTACTAAAGAGTATAAACAATGCTCACTTTCCAAAGTGAACTGCTACCGTTTAATGCCGTTACTTTCCTGTCGCACCCTCAACAATGGAATGAACTTCACTTTCTCCCGTTTCATTTTTACACACATACACGATTTTTTTTCTCCCTAAAATATAGAAGTTCTCGCTAATCCTCAATATTCCGTCTTTTAAAAACCTATCTCTAAAATTCCTTATAATAAAACAAATTTTAAAAATTGTTTTACCCCTAACACAACTTCGTCAGGCCACTCACTTTAGCTACAGAACAGTAAAGGCCGGGTAAACTACACGTCCCACCATGCATTGCTGCCATGTTCAGAGTAGGTCTCTACGGAAACAGAAAAAAAAAAATCTACAAGTCCCACCTGTTACTTCGTTTCTAAACACCTCCTGCACTTTCCGCTCCGACAGCAAACAAAAACAAAAGGCTCGTGACCTCATGTCGGCTCGGAGAGCTAGAGGAGCAGGGGGCCGGGGGTCAGGCAGCATGTCTGCTGCAGCGGGTAAATTCTACCGAGCTCCTGCGCTCCCCTCTCCTTTCCGGGGCTGGATGCACGCACAAGCCTTCCCCTGTCTGCATCCAATGGGGGGCTCTCCAGGCGCGAAAGGGAGAAGAACCGGTTGCTATGCAAGCACAACAGACTTCTCGGTGCCGGGGTGGGGGCTACCACAGAGGGGGGGCGACGGCGACATGACCCCGAGAGACAGGCTCAAAACACCAACAGAACTGGTCGCAGAGGCTGAGAGAAGCCACAGCCCCGCCGCGACTCCCTCCCGCCAGCGCCTCCATTCCCACAAGGATCCCAAGCCTGACTAACCGCCGCCCTCTCCGCGCGGTTTTGTGCCCCTTCGGCCGGGTCGCGGGGCCAGTGACCTCCCTTCCCCTGCGACTGGCGGGCTCCAAGGGGACGAAATCCTCCCGGCCTTCCCCTTCGCTCCCTCCCCCTTACCGTCTTGGCGGCCTCCGCCCAGGTCCTGCCCTTCTTCCTACGGCCCTTTTCCCTCATGTCGGGTCTTGAACTGACTGGGAGGCTCCGGTGTCCGGGCTCCGGCCGCGCTCCCTGCCTGCTCTGCCCTGCGCTGTTTTTCCCGCAGTGCCGGGAAAGGTGGGAGAAAGGGGAAGTCAGGCCGGAGGAGCACCCTAGCAGAGGAAGCGGCGGGGGAGGTGCGCGGGGGGGCTCTATGGGGCGGCCGGTCCTTCTGCTGCCGTTGCCACTGCTACCGCCGCTGCCATATTGGGTTCTTACTGTACAGGCAGCCGCTTTGGTCACGTGACCACTCCCGCGCGGCCGTCACTACTGTACGCAGCGGTAGCGCGAACGAGCGCGCGCGCGCTCCCCGGCTCCCGCGCACGGCCTCAGAGAGAACCAGCGACGGCGCTCTGCACCTGGCCACGCCCCCGCCCTTCCGGTCCCCGCCTCTTAGGAGCATGCGCAGGAGAGAGCACCATGTTCCTGTTACATCTGTATCCTTGCGCTTACACCCAAGGCGAAAATCTTCCCGCGGAAGCGGAACTTGATCCAGCCGGGGAGGCTTCTAAAGAGGCCGTGGGCCGCGTGCGAGTCACCGTGGCTGTTTGGAGACTTGGAGAGAGCCGGCAGCTTCCTTCAAGGGGTGACCCTGACACATATCATATTCTTTAAAGTTTTTTGTTTTGTTTTGCTGGGAATCGAACCGAGGGCCCCGCTCATGAAATTTATTTCTGATGGTTGGGTAGTCTTGGGTTTTCTCGTTTCTGTTTATTTTGACAAAGGTTTATCTTTTGAAGATTTTTAGCAGTTTTTATCTACTTGTTAATCCCATTCGACAGATAAAACGGCTGAGATTGCATTGCCGAGATTTGTGGATGGAGTTTCAAAGTCCATAGACCCCTAAAACTGTAGGTAAAGTTTTGTGTGTGATTTGAGTTTTTTGTTTTTTTAAAAAGGGTCTTATAAAAAAGTTACTAGGGAGCTTGAGAAGCCAGACCCATCTTAACAGTTGATAAGGGTTATATTTCCACACGAATTCCTTTAATAACTCATAGTACTATCCATAACATTTGTGCCACCTAGGCACCAACCCTGTGCCTATAGTTAGTTCAACAAGCACTGCTCAATCCCCTACTGTTGACTGGGCTTGGCATCCCATTGGCCTGGAAGCTCTACCCCAACTTGTTATAGATTTTATTCAGCCGGATACTCCAACTATCATTACTTTAGATTTCTGGAGTTTTGTCCCAAGATTTTAGCGTCGAGGCTGGGGATTGTGATGTTGTAGTTACTGGATCTTAATTATCCTCTGGTCTAGACAGTTTGTTAGTACTATAAAATTATCCCCCAGAGTATTTTTGCCCCTATGTCTGTTTGATTTGTTAGATGTATTTACATCTTTCTCATCATCTCTACACTAGTTCTGGATTTCCTTAAATGTTCTGTTTCTACTCTCACCCTACTCCAGCCCACCCTTCATAGGGTGCCAAAAAAAATTCTTTCTTCCCGGTACTAGGGATTAAACCTAGGGCCTTGTACATGCTAGACAAGTGTGTTACCACTGAGCTACAGCCCCAGCCTTCTGTCTGTTTTTAAAAGTTCACCCACTCCCCCTAAGTTATCTTCCGTAGTTTTTAGTATTTCTTTTGGTACCAGGGATCAAACTTGGGTCCTTGAACTTGCAGGGCAGGCAGCAGAACCATTGAGCTAAATCGCTGGCCCTAGTTTTTCTTTAAGTCAGAATTTCTTAGCTTCACACTTACAGTTTCTGTATTCAACTTAGTTACCCTTTGACTTATCCCAGGTCACTTTCATCAGCATTTGCAACTCTCTTGAAGATCTCTATTTTGCCTCTTCATTTAACTATTAATGGGTCATACATTTTATAAAAGTTGGCAACCGTCAATTACAGCCTTCCTTCAGCTGTACATTTGCCCACAAATTTGACCTAAACTCCTAAACTCCTCCTCTTTACCATTATATATTGCATACTGTATGCAGGCCTCCATCCTTGCTCACCTTTAGAATGCTCTTGCTCCGTAAACTATCCATCATTTTCTTGCTCTGATTCCCCTCCCACCTGCTTCTGCATGCATATTCAAGTCCCCTCCAGCACCAGTATAGAAGTCTGTATGGTCCATCCTACCATTTTATTTTCTCTCTTTTTTGCTCATAAATATCTTGAAAATGTGCTCTATACTCACTGTCTCCATTTCCACATCTTCTAGCTACTTCTCCGCCCTTTGAAGTGTGTCAGTACTGGACCTTCAGAAATAGAGATCTGAGCTGGACTAGTGGCGCACACCTGTAGTCCTAGCACATGAGAGGATGAGGCAAGTGGATCACTACAGTTCAAGCCCAACCTGGGCTACATAGTGAGTTCAAGGCCAGCCTGAACTACATAGCGAAACCCTGTCTCAAAAATCAAACAAAAAGGTCTGACTTTTCTGTGATAAAAATGACTCACCTGCTTTAGGCTACAGATATTAAACCCTAGGCTTGCTTTATCTTGGAATCCATGTGAGATTTCCTTTTCAAAATAAAAAAATAGGGCCGGGGATTTAGCTCAGTGGTTCCGGTGCCTGCCACACAAGCGCAAGCGCCGGAGTTCAATCCCCAGTACCAAAAAAAAAAAAAGTGCTAGTATAAAAATACTGAGATGAAAATACTTACATACAGTTTTTCTTTTTAAAATTAATTTTATTGGTTCAATTTATACATAATGATCACATTCATCAAAGGGCACATTGTTTTTCATGGACAGAGATAAATAATAAAGTGAAAAAGGCAAGATGAACCATATATAATACGGTCTTTGGGCTGTTTTTGTTTTGCTTTGAGACAAGGGGTCACCATGGTAGTTCAGGCTAGCCTTGAACTCACTATGTATCCCTGGCTGGCCTCGAATTTTTAGCAATCCTCCTGCCTCAGCCTCCTGAGTGCTGGGGTTACAGGCATGCACCACTACCCAGCTAACATGGTCTTTTTCAGTGGGAAAAAGGAGAAGGTATTCTTTTTGACCACTAATGTCCAAACCTACCCCTATATCTGGAAATACCCACCTATTACAGAAATTGAAAACATCAACCTCCCTTACAGGTGGGGTATAAGATGTGCCTTGGGCTCCAGAGGCACTTCAGCCCTAGACATTGAATCAGGTGCTTGTAATGTCCAGCATTAAAGGTGTCAGTGGATCAAGCTGCAGTTTCCAATAGGCCGGCTCTGTAGGTGTATTTTGGCCATTACTGCTGTTAGTATAAACTTCCAGGCTTGATTCCTTGGACTACCCAGAGATTCTGTGAGCAAACTAATATCCATTAGGAAACTTTTTTGCACTCAGGAGGCAGAGGCAGGAGGATTGTGAGTTCAAGGCCATTCTGAACTACATAGCAAGACCTTATCTAAAAACAATAAATAAAATAAAATCTTACTGCTTAAATTACCCAGAATTGCCAGACATGGAGGTGCACACCTGTAATCTCAGCACTTGGGAGGCCAAGGCAGGAGGATCACCCCCAGTTCAAGGCCAGCCTGAACTACACAGTGAGACCCTGTCTCAAAAAACAAAACAAAATTACCAAGAATTGGTTTCTTCTTTTTTGTTTTTGTTTGTTTGTTTGTTTGTTTGTTTTGCTACTAAGAATCTGGATAGAGGGCCAGGGATTTAGCTCAGTGGTTCCGCCACCTCAAGAATCTGGACAGAGATGTAGGGCATGTGTGTGTGTGTGTGTGTGTGTGTGTGTGTGTGTGTGTGTGTGTAATAGATGCTGTGACATGCTACCAGATGCCCTGCCGGGACTGAAGATGTGCAGTCCTGAGGTTACTGCTGAAGAAAACCACCGTGTTCAGGTTCGCACTCCTTCCCGGAACAGCCTGTGCCCAGCAACTGCTTGATGTCAGGGAAGACAGTCCTGGCCCCTGGTTCCCCTGTTGCACAACATTGAGTCATCCTAGCTTCAGCGCTCTCGGGGGTGCTGGAGGCCCTTGTTTGTACTGGACTTGACTGCAAATTCTCTTTCTGCCTAGACTTCCTTTCCTTTCTTTCCCACACCACGTTGCCCCCGAGAGTATTCCACAGTAAATGGCATGCGTGCTAATCTCATTTCTGAGTGGGCTTCCTGAAGACCCGGCATATCTCATGGCCCTGTGGGAGTGGGGTCATAGGTTGAGCCAGGTAATGGAGTCTGGTCTGCCTCTGACTCAGTGGCTCATGGTTGCCCTGGTGACTATTTCCCTGGTCTCCACATAATTAGAATAGGATCATCAGGTTAGAAGTTGATACAACCTACATAGTGGTTCCTTGGTCTGTGGGATGAGAGGCAGCAAAGTGAGGAAGGCCAGGTAGAAGACCTGAAACTGGTCCCTCATTACCCCACAGCAGCCAAGATGGTAAATCAAAAAAATAAATAATGGCAGATACTATTTCCATTCAAAAGACCAAAAGGATTCTAGGGTGTTAATCCTTGTCTATTTCTCTTTCCCCTTCTTTTTTTGGCTTTTTGAGACACGGTCTCTCTATGTAGTCCAGGCTGGCCTTGAACTCACAGAGATCCTCATGCCTCAGCCTCCTGAGTGCTGACATTACAGGTGTGTGCCACCATGCCTGGCTGTATTTCTATTCCTTTCACTAATCTTGCCCCTATCAATGCCAAGTGGATGCTGGAAGATGACAGCAGACTATCAGAAATTGAGTCCAATAGTCTTCCCAGGTGCCACAGGTAGTTAACAAATACATGCTTTTTTTTTTTTTTTTTGTACTGGGGATCAAACTCAGGACCTTGTGCTTAAGAGGTGGGTGTCAGAACCACTGAGCTAAATCCCCAGCCCAAGAAATACATGCTTTTAAAAACATTGCTCCCGGGCCAGGGATTTAGCTCAGTGGTTTTGCCGCCTGGTTCGCAAGCGCAAAGACCCAAGTTCGATCCCCAGTACCTAAATAAATAAATAAATAAATAAATAAATAAATAAAAACGTTGCTCCTGGCATGATATGGAGGCCTAGTAAACACAGAGAACCTGAACATGTAGCCAGAAAACTATCATGAGCTTGTTTCTGTCATTCAGCTAAGTCAAATCATAAGGTCAGATGGACCCAGGAACATCATGTTGCCAGATGAAAGTACACATCCGGGATTAGAACAAGCAGATCCAAGAGCACAAGTGAGCTGCAAACAGGTGGTCCAGCATCTGCCCTGGCGCCTCTCCTGCAGTTCGTGGTGTGGTTGCCTGGAAGTTTCCTCGGCACCAGCTGACAGA